CCACTATCAAAATTACTTTATTAATGACATGTGCTCAACTGCCCTGTCCTGACAGCTCCTAGTATTGAATAGAAAATTCCTATTTTTTGTGAGGGGCCTCCAGTCGGTGGGAACATGGTTCACATTCTCGGATTTGAGAGGAAAAGGCGATATCGTTAAGATGTCCAGTGAAACTCAAGTGTTGTACGACGACGGCACCCCGCGTTCGGTTCGCGTTCGGGTCGGGGTGGTCGTTCAGGAGTTATCCCAGTGCCCTGCCTGGTGCGAGATTCCACATGAGCATTATTATGTAGGTACAAATGGATAAGTCATTTGATAAGGTCATCAATGACTCTGGTCTTGTACACTCCTGGCAGAAGCAAATTGTATTTGCCATTTTTGACAACTCAAGATTATTCTGTCTGGACCCGCGTCAGACACGGAAGGACGCGAAGAAGTTTCTATGATATCGAAGTCTGACACACACAATGAAGTCCGACTCGACTAACTTAGTCGAGCCTTGGCCCAGAATGACCGTTCTGTTTGAGCTGCTGCTGTTACCTGTCCGCTCCTCCTCCAGAAGAACTGCGCCACCTGGACCATCTGGTTCCGCGCGGCTCGGAGCGCGGCTTTGGGTGATTGCGCTGGAGGCGTGGAGGTGGCGGCGGAGAGGGGGAAGTACCTCTGCGGGCCGCGGGCCCCCTCCGCCCCCCGCCCGCGCGCCCCTCCGCCCGCTGCGGCCGCGCCGCGCTGGCCCGGCTGCCAGGCTGCCTCAGTGTCCCGCCGACCAGCGCGCCATCCGCCCCGAACCCGACCGCGGCGCTCTGCGCAGGTGCGCTCGAACGTTCGCGAGTGTCTTCAGCGCGCGCCCACGGAATAAACGCGACCCGAAATCCACGACAAAGTCGACGACATCCTTGACCGTGCCGAGGACGGGCCGCGCCTCGCTGCCGCCCCCGCCGCCAACCCCCCGTGCCAGGAGCGGGGACGTCGACGACGAGGAGTCCCAGCCCCAGTGTGTTGTGCCTCGAAAATGAATGTGTTGGCCGTGCGGCCCCAGTGTGTGGTTAGCGCTCCCAGCCCCGATTGATCTCGCGCAAGAGGAGAGCAAGCTGTGCAAGGGCCTTGCGAGTGTTTGCATCGTGTGTCACGTGACAGGACCGCCAGGATGGCCGCGCCACTCCGACTCGTCTCGCTGGTGCTCGCCGTCGCGGTGCTACAGGTGAGTCTCGGTGCTGCCAAGGCCTCCTCGGTGAGCTGTAAGCTGTCGTCGGGAGGCTGCCGTGCGGCATGCAGTTGCATGGCGGTCGCTGTCGCGGTACGATTAGTAACTGGCCAGCCGGTGCACTGAGTCACTTCCGTTGGGCTGGGCGGGCACTGTTACTGCTCGTCTTTATTTTTTTCTGTCCCGCCTTCGCCTTCCCCGAGGCGGTGGTGGCGGTGTCCTCCCGGGCCCGGTGCATTCTCTGTCGCGCTCCGCTGGCGCCCTGCAATCCCCAGGATAGCTTCGGGGACAGGTGCGCGGTGCGCCGGGCCCGCGCAGCCCGCGCCTGTTGCTGTTGGTGCGGCGCCGGCCGTCGCGACGTCTCGGGCCTGGCCATGCCGCGGGGCGGGGCGGGGTGGGGAGGGGCTCATTCGACAGCAGTGTACAGTTGTGCACGTGAGCGTCGAATCGGTACGCCCGGGTACGCCTCTTCTGCAGCTGTAGGCTACTCTCAGCGCGGCATACGCCGCGCTTAGCGCTTAGCAGCTCTAGTTCAAGGCGATGCGGGCGATGGAGGCTGCCGCCGCCGCCGGTTGGTCCGGGCGGTGGTGGGCGAAGTGGGCTTTGTTCGCACCGCATGCAGCACGCAGGTGATGTGGTGGGAGCCCACGCCGCGCCTCGCCAGACGCAAGTGTGGGCGAGGGTCTGTCAGTGCGAGGACGGTGGGTCTCTGACGTGGTGGGCGCGAGCACCCCGGACCCGCACCTGCGAGAGGGGCGGCAGGAGCAGGGTGCCTGCACCGCGGTGACCCTCCCTGGACTCCTGGACAACGCAGTCGCACGTCGCCAGAGTGTGTCCCTGCAGGTGCGAGGGGGCAAGGAGATGTTGTCCTCCTGGATGTTCCTCCTGGAGAACGGGGCGGCGACTCCCTCGGCTCCCAATGCTGCCCCTATGCGCCGCAGTCGCCTCGCAGGCCCCGCAGGTCGCCGCCGTGTGCGACGGGCCAGACCCGCCCGATCACAATTTGTCACACGGTCCAATTAAAATTCCTCCGCGCATGGGAACAGATGCAACACCGCGAGGACGCGAAACGTAGGGCGAGGAGGGGAGTGGGAGCAGGAGCGCGAGGAGGGAGGGGGGAGAGGGGGGAGGAGCGCGAAGGCCACAGCCGCTCGGCGCCGCGGAGCGAAGCACCGTCGCTGCCTGGAGCACCTACACTGGAAAGTGCCCCGCGTGCATATTCAACAGACTTCGCGCCGAGTTCCGGTTTTCTGCACCTATTGCCTATCGTCCCCAGGCTTATGTTTTTACGCGCAGAGTCAACATTGAGCGATTGAGCATTAAATGTGTTTTCTTTCACATGACATGACCGTAACATTGCCCTCTTGCAAGTACCGTTTGCTAATGATTCTGTAACGTTACCACGTTTACAAAGGATAAAATTGAGGTCCCCTTATGCCAAGTAAGGGTAAGCCATTTTCTCGGCACGTTTTCGTCCCTGTGTAGCCGTCCCGACCCGTCCCGTCTCCTGGGGCCGGCGGAGAGCCTCTCGGAGAGGAGCTGCGGGTTATGCAACCCCTTGTGCAGGACACGCCGCCTGGGCCGCGAGGGCCGCGAGGTGAGGTGAGGCGGGCCGGCGAGGAGCAGCGCGCAGCCTCGGCGCGGCGGGCGCGGCGGGGGCGTCTCCATGGGTGACCAGTCCGACCAGCTGGAACCAGTTGTTGCTGCTGCTGTTGCTGCTGCTGCTGCACCTGGGCGTCTCCCAGCCCCGCCATGTTCTAGTTCAGCGCGAGTTGCGCGGTAGGGCGGAGGCAGGGGGATTGTAAGACGAGTAAAAAGGTCCCCTTTGAGTCATTATAGGCCGAGGCGGCGGCGGCGTGTTCAGTACTTTATTCCTCGAGACTCTTATACCCCCCCCCCCTCTCGGGGACCCCAGCTTCCCGAACACGGCGGCGTTGTTCAAATCGGATCAGCATCACGTCGGTACCCTCGGCGTCACGCCCTGCAATGCCCTGTAATAACTCGCAATTTGCTCATCTCGGTGCCGCACATTTGCTCTTCTTGTTTCTGTTGCCG